AGAAGGAGAAGAGCGTGATTGAACTCGATGGAGATGAGTCACTGTTTGACATAGAGGTAGGGGAGTTCCAAAGCACCGTAGTGTCAGCAAGAGTAGAATCGGTGGTGGTTGGAGGTGACAAAGAGTATGTTAACAGTGAAGGGTCATCATCTTGGATGAAAGAGTTATAGTCGTCAGATGAGGGAGAAGCATGAAAGTCAGGAAAAGGAAAATTAAGACAAAGATAGCCCCAATGATCAGTGGATGGGCCAAGATAAATACACGCCGACGAGCGAGGAGCTAATTTGTGAGGGGTGGTTGAGGAGAGATTCGGGTAACAAAGACAGCCAAAGACCCGAAGGTGATCATAAGAGGGTGAAAAACCAAAAAGAATTTAAAACAGGGTTTTAATGTGTAGGGTTGTGGTAGAAAGAAGATTGAATCCGTGAGCAGCGGAAAGAAGAGACTCAACCCAAAAGTAGGGAGAAAGGGAGGGTTGGACGAGAGAGGCGCGAATGATGTTGTTTATGGTGCGGATGGTACGTTCAGCTTTACCATTCTGCTGGGAGGTATAGGGACATGAGAAGCGAATTTTAATTCCATGATCATTAAAGAAATCCAAGAACGGTTTGTTGTTGAATTCACGACCATTATCGAATTGAAAAAGCTAAATATCTGTTTTGAATTGATTTACCACATAAGCATGAAAAGATTTGAAAATAGAAAACACATTGGATTTGGTAAGTAAAGGAAAAATCCATAAAAATGAGAAAAATCATCTAAGAAAAGAACATAGTATTTAAAACCACTAAGACTTGGAACAAGAGAGGTCCATAAATCAGAATGAATTAATTGAAACACACGAATTGTTTTTGTATGAGATAAATTAAATGGTAAACGACAATGTTTTCCTAGTTGACAAGTATGACATAAGGATGTCTTTTTACTAGAAAAGGAAATAAAATTATGCAACTTAAGAAACTGAAAAATAGTGGAGCTCGGATGACCAAGTCTTCTATGTCATGTGCCATGAGAAATAGCAACAAAAACAGATAAAGATCAGACTAGCGGTGCAAAACTTATAAAGGAATTTTGCTAAAAAAATTATTTTGCTACTTAATTAAAATTAAAAAGGTATTTTGTTATATGACATTTCCTAGTCATTTGAGTGATTAGCTGTTTTTTTTTTTAACCCACACATGGAATGCTTGCCAAACCTGATTTTAAAGGGGGGCAAAGCGGGCAGCTGTACCCGATTTTTTAAGGGGCCCATTATATATATATATATATATATATATATATATATATATATATGTATATATAATTTCTTTAGTGGCCTAATTTTTTTAGTTGTTACGATATCATTACTCATTAAAATATTATGGTTTTGCTATGTTTATTGCTATAAAGTTTATAACAAACTTTAGTTTATATAATTTAATTTGTTACTCATTAATTAGGGTGTAAGGGCTTTTTTTCCGGCTCGACCTGAGCATTCGAATCCTTAGAACCAACTTGAATGGAAAACCGAAACTGTAACTACGTCAACATTGTACTATCAATGTTGGGTGTAACGTTGGAGTGGTTTAAATGATTTCTCATAATCAGTTCTTAATTTCAATCACAATTAATATTCTTTTCAAAAAAAAAAAAAAAATCCAAGCACAATCTAGGCAACTTTGGTATGCTTATAATTTTTTTTGTTATTAATGCAATCAACTATTTTACTTAAGCTTCCATGTATCCTATTTTTTGACTAATATTTGTCCACTACAGGACAGAAGTGCGAGCTCTTGGATGGTACAATCTGACCAGGGTAGTTCTCAATGTACCAGTTAAAAGTGACAAATCTTACAACAAAAAATGTCCAGAGCTCCTTATCAAAATTGTCATGAAAAGGTTCACTGCTTATCATGATACATTTATTTCATTTCACTACCACATTTTCTATCCATAGTTGGTGTATATAGTTAAGTTTCTTATAAAACAAGCTTTTGATATAAAATATTTGTCACCTTTTCAGGTTGAAAACTTCTTTTCGTAGTTCATGTCGGCCTGTATTGCATGCAGCTGCCCGAATCGTGCAAGAAATGGGAAAAAGTCGAGCAGCTGCTTTTGCTTTAGGCTTACTAAATATTGAAGAAGATTTAGTCAATACATTTGCCAAAAGCAATGATTGGGATCATGGGTCCTCTGAATCTGAAGGTGAATGTCATGTTCCTCGATGGGTATCTTTCTATTATCGTATTGAGTCTTATAACTTTGACAAATATGTAACTGTATATGGTCTTCCACACAACAATAATAAGGGAAAATTGCAAAGCACAGCAACATACTATACTATCATTACCAAATACCAATATTGGCAGTGGATTTCATTTCTTACTCACAGTGGCGATGTAATCACATGCATTTCTCTACAGATAATAGCAGTATATAGTGTGAAACTTGTAAATTGATTACAAGTTTCATCTTACATATTGCTATTATAGGTAAATAAATGTAACTTTATTTCCATATGTGGAGGGTAAAGGAAGGAAGTTTTTGTAATACTGATAACAAAACCTTCGAGAAAATTTTTGATATTAATTTTCTCACTTAGATGAGACAAAAATTTGCTATTCCGTTTGTTCTAAACCTTATCTATTCATTTAATTTATCATATGTGATTCTTTTTCACACCTTAATTTGAGCTCTCTGATTCTTTTCTTCTATGTCGAATGGAAGATGATGATGACACAATTGGGAGTTTATTAGCTTCATTAATGGAGGTTGTCCGAACCACTGCTGCATGTGAATGTGTTTATGTACGTGCTATGGTGATTAAGGCACTGATATGGATGCAAAGCCCTGAAGAATCTTCCAGTGAACTTAAGTTATTGATTGCATCAGAGATTTCTGATCCTTCTTGGTCAGCCACTTTGCTAAACGATATTTTGCTCACTTTACATGCTCGTTTTAAGGTACATATTTGATTACAAGCTGTAACTATTTCTTTCCAATTGTTATATAATCTTTGTTTTCCCTATAACATCCTTACATTCTTATTTTTTTTCCCCCTATATAGGCTACTCCTGATATGGCAGTTATCCTTCTTGAACTAGCAAGAGTATTTGCTACTAAAGTGCCTGGAAAAATTGATGCTGATGTGCTGCAACTTTTATGGAAGGTGTTTTTTTTCTCTCTTTTTATGATAAGACTTATTTTTTGTAGTTATTTGAAATGAAATTCCCTTAATCATCATCATATTATTAGCGATATATACATCTGATAGTGATTTCCCTACAGACATGTCTTGTTGGAGCTGGTCCAAAGGGAAAGCATACAGCTCTTGAAGCTGTGACAGTAGTTCTTGATCTTCCACCACCACAACCAGGATCCATGTCTGGGATTACATCAATCGATAGAGTTTCTGCATCTGATCCAAAGTCGGCTTTGGCTTTACAGAGATTAGTCCAAGCAGCAGTAAGAATCTAATATTGTTAATTAGTAAGAAAGTTAAGGAGTATTTTGTGATTCATATTCTCGTTGAAAACACTTGTAGGTGTGGTTTGTTGGAGAAAATGCAAATTATGCTGCTTCTGAATATGCTTGGGAATCAGAAACTCCTCCTGGAACTGCATTGATGATGTTGGATGCAGATAAAATGGTTGCAGCAGCTAGTTCTCGTAATCCAACTTTAGCTAGTGCATTGACTCGACTTCAAAGAGTTGCTTTCAGTGGCAGCTGGGAGGTACATGCATGGTTGAGAATTCAGAATTTCAAATTTCTATACAGTTTTAGTTTGTTATTAATAAGCAAAGCGAATAAAAGATAAAGAAATGTTATTACCAAAAGAATAATTTTGTGATTTGACAAACTTATGCGTTTGAAATGATTGATCATGGTTGTCGATATATTTGAGTATTGTCTTTATATGCATGATTAATATTTTTATTTCTTAGGTACGTATCATTGCTGCTCAAGCTCTTGCCACCCTGGCAATCCGATCAGGTGAGCCATATAGGCTACAGATATACGAGTTTCTACATGGCTTAGCACAAGGAGGTGTCCAGTCTAAGTTTTCAGATATGCATATCAGTAATGGTGAAGATCAAGGAGCTAGTGGAACTGGTCTTGGCTCTTTGCTAAGTCCGATTTTGAAAATCCTCGATGAAATGTATAGTGCACAAGATGAACTCATAAAGTAGGTCACCAAATAATTAATCATTTTTCTAATTTTCTTCAAATTTCTTAAAGATAATATAATAACAAAGTCTGTTCTCCACCTTGTGTATTTGAGTGTCCAGAGATATGCGTAATCATGACAATGCCAAAAAGGAATGGACTGATGAAGAACTTACGAAGCTGTATGAAACTCATGAAAGGCTCCTCAATCTTGTTTCATTATTTTGTTATGTTCCACGAGCAAAATACCTACCTCTGGGGCCTATTAGGTAAGAATATTTTTTCATGCATCCTTGATGAGAGCTTAGTCATCCATAGAGTTTTTTTTTTTCTTCTTTTATTAAATACTTTTGCCTATTTTCCGTAAGTTTTTTATTAATAAACTTTTCAATTGTATAGTGCATTACTCCCTCTATAAGTAACAAGTATAATAGAGTGACTCTTATGTTTGTGCCCTTTATGAATTCAGATATCTTATGAGTTATGACCTAATTTTTTTTACCACTATACAACAGTGCCAAACTTATTGACCACTATCGTGATGAGCATGACATTAGTGCATTCAGTGTCATGAGTGATCAAGTTCATGTAGCCACAGGAATTTCTGAACTTATATATGAAGCAACTAAACCATCACCATCTTTGGAGGCTGAAACTTTTGATGATGATCTTGTAAATGCTTGGGCAACTGGACTTGCTGATGATGATGGCTTGTGGGGAAACAATGCTCTTGCTATGAATAGGGTAGTATACTACAATTTTCATCCTTGTGGTTTATTGATTTTTACAGATATGGTCCCTGAAACATATTTTAAACCTTTCATGTCCAAAAAAATAATAATTTGTCATGCTTTCTACCCGATCCAAAAACGTCTATATATGTTTGCTTTCTATTTCTGATCAATATCATGATCTTTTGTTTGATAGGTCAATGAGTTTCTTTCTGGCTCTGGTACTGATGCTCCTGACTTTGAGGATGAGAATAGTTTTGCCAGATCTTCAAATGATGATATGTGGGCAAAAACTCTTTTAGAACCATCAGAACTTGATGTAAGAATCATGTCATCATATATGTTGCCAAGTTTATCCACCATTTCTTGTCTTAACACAATCATAACATATTTTCACTTTCTGCAGTATGATGAGTCATCTACCTCTTCTTCCCCAGACTCAGTAGGATCAGCTGAGACATCCATTTCGTCTCAATTTGGTGGAATGGATTATCCATCATTATTTAGCTCAAAGTCACAACCCAAGGTTTGTAACCAATGGAAATATGGCAATGTATTTAATTACCTTTTTGCACCGAAAAGGTCAATATACCTTATTTTTTATCCATGAAAACTGATAATTCAATTGAGCAACTTTAGATGATGGGTCAAAAATGCTACATCTTCTTTTTTAAATAAATAATATTACTTTTATACTATTATGGTTACAAGAAAAAAACATGTGTTTGTACATTTATTCATGATAAAGACTAGTTTGGTTTGTCTTTTAAGTTTAATTAAGTTCATGAAGTTTAATGAAAAAGAAATAGCACATAAAATGAAACCAACTATAGAGTACACTGACATTATACACCAAAGAATCATAAACATTTAACAAAGTATAAAAGATATCTAAAGCAATAAGGTTATTAAAGCTAAACAAATGCTAGGTAGCATTGCTTTTCATATGAGAGATACAGGGATTGAATCCTTACTTTTCAATAAGTTTTCATTCATTTGTTGGCTATGATTGGATGTTGATTTGGCCTTTATATCTTGACATCTGCATTTGCTGGATGCCATGTAAGCAAAAAGGTCAAGTGGTAACCAGTTACTGGTTTATTCATGTTAAAAATTGCTATAATCGGTAAAACTGAAGCACGTTGATATATATATTTTTCCACAATTTGCCTATTTTTAAATAGGAAGTACACTGCTATTTTCCTACCACTGATTCCTCGTCATATGGTTCTCTTGTGAGTGGTGAGGCCCTTAATTAATCTTTATAAGGAAGAATTTCACTTTATCATCTGTCTACAATTGCAAACTAATTCACTTTTTCTTTTTCTTTTTTTCATTTCAGATTATAGAAGAGCCAACTCCATACTCATCCCCTTTCTACAAAAGTCACACTTCATTTGAGAATCCAGTAGCTGGTACTGAAAGTGAGTATAATTACCAAGATGATGACCAATCCTCATCTGGGAATATAGACTTTGGAACAGCACTTTACGACTTTACCCCTGGTGGAGATGATGAGGTAGGATGAGTACTTTCACTAGAGTTCTTTTTTATCCTAAAATGTGGACATCTGCATGACATTAATTGTCTGTGATACCAGTTGAGCCTGGTTGCTGGAGAAGAGCTTGAAATCGAATACGAAGTTGATGGATGGTTCTATGTAAGAATGTTACAATTTTATATTACTTAATTAATTTCTATCTAATCAGCCTACTTTTTATCTAATAATCTTATTTTTCAACTATACTACAGGTGAAGAAATTAAGCCCTGGCTTGGATGGGAAAGCAGCTGGACTTGTCCCTGTTCTCTATGTCAGCAAATCTTGAAGCTCATGATTTATTATTCAGTTCTCCATATAACAACAATAAAGTGAATCCATCTTCGGGTTAAGTTAATGGATTTTTTTTGTCACAAAGTTGCCAACATGGCAACTTCTGACCTCCTTCCCTTTATCTGGAGACCTATCATGTCTTGGCACCCATTATTCCGGAGCTATCACACATTTTTTTTTTTTTTTCTGAGTTTCTAGCTACAACAAATCTTTCTTATAAGGGAGGCCCCTTAAGCCATTGGCATGAAGAATTCCCAAAGGAATGTCCAAATATACCGTTGGTGTTGGTGCTCAGTGATTTACCCCATAACAGGCCTAAGACGGATTTGGCGTGAACCGCTATTAGGTTATTTCTTATTTACCATTATCAATGAGAGATTAACAATGATTTAATATCCGTTATTTTTTTGTTACGGTATATAAATAGACCTCATGTCTACATAATCTTGAAAAATCAATTGTTAGTGAATTTGAAGATGAATAAAGAGAATAATGTTGTTAAATATGCTTTAGAACGACCTATGTTTATGTTGGATACTTCATGAACCAATTTCTTTTAGGGATATGACAGCTTCCTCAGAGATTTTATGATATGTGAATATTAATTTGGTTAAACAAATTTCTGGTTGTGCATATCTTGAAAATCACATCTTGTTGGGTTTATATTAAAAATAGTATAATTTTTAATTTTAGTGATAAAATTGATATAATTAACAACAGAAGCATTTTATAATTTAAATAAACTAAAACCATTTTAACCCACAATAGATCATTTTGCAAAGCTTAGAAAGATTAAAACATAACCAAAGGAAAGATGAAGCTTATAACCTTTGAAAACCTTCGTTTCTTTTGGCAATTACGAAGTTAATAAAGATGACATAAAAACTAAAAGAAGAAATCATTTATAATGTATCCATCAAAGCAAGAATAAAACCATTTAAAGATGTTAGTCTTTACTTGTATATATGTTGTTCTTAAGATTTAAAGCATATACCAAAATATGCTTAAAGAGAAGCAACATATGAGCCTTTAATTCTAACATTTTTTGCAAGAACAAAAAGAGGGAGAGAGGGGGAGAAGATCCACGAAAATGACAGCCAAATTTGTTGAATAACACCTCCGAAAACTTATCTCATGCCTTTCTTTTATGCCCCTTGATGTACTAAAGCTAGACATAAAATAAGGAGAGCATGAGGCTTTCTTACAAGCGTGGTGTAAGGCAATAAACAAATCAAAATCAAGTGTCATGCATCATGTAAGAACCCATGGTTCTTCATGGCTAAGGGAGAAGATTGAAGTGTTCGTTACTTTTCCCATAACTAACTAGTTAGATGAAAACTTAATGGTCACTCCAAGTGATCAAAATATTGTACACAACAATAATAATCATACCTTATGATTTTGGCTAGTTTTATTCTATTTTATTATTACTTTCTATAAACAATAATTCTTAATATGTTCAAAAATATTATTTTCATAAAATAATATTTTCCAATTAAATACAAGTGTTAATAATATTTATTAATAATCAATTAAAAGTAACTTGTTATAAGGTGTGATCCTATAGGATCATATGTCATTAGCAATATCATTCTATATTGACTATTGGGCATACAAGATCTTTGAATCTCTCACTCACACAAAACTCATCATAGATTGATATAGAAAGTGGTGAACATATAACAACATTTCACTGCCCCCAATAACACACGGCGAATAATGTCATTGATCAACATCCAATTCCCAAAAGCTCAAAGTTTCAACTGATGCATAAGATAAGTATATCAGTTATTCATTTGATACAGACATCCTGTTGAACATGAGACTTGGATCGCAATCAATCTCATTTGGAGTTCAACCTTAGGTAACGTGCATTAGATGTCTAATAAATCTTATCTTGACTACATAAGCTTGTTGCATAGTTCATACCATACCTGAAAACGAATTTTATAACTACCCCTTTAAGGATCAGCATTTGACCATATCTAAGCACAACACTCCCTATACTTAAGTCTCACTATGTATCTCAGGTGTTAAGGATACAAAGATAGTACCTCTTAATCAAGTATCACTCACAACAGCGATCTATGAGGTGACTTTGATACGGGTCTGTTCAATACCAGTTTTTTAACAAATACCTATGAAATTTGGTTACAACCACTTGACTACTTTCATCCGGTGAGAGTCAACCAATCCTATTCATATTAGTCTTACTTCATAATTGTTCCCATAATTATAACTAACTATAAACTTTTAGAATAATGAGATTATTTCTGGATTTAACATGTTAATATAGAACACAATAGGTATTGATGTGATGGTCATATCCTAATATATCAAAATAATATAATAATTGTTGTATTAATGTTCCAATATCCAAATACTACATTGTGACATCCCTATTTTTACGACCATATAAGACCAGTTTTTTTTTTTGGTTTATGCTTGTTTAAAAATCAGAGTAACATTTTAAAGAAAAGTGTTGCAGAATTTGTTCCCAAAAAAAATATGATAAAGATTTATCAAAGCATTTCCGAAGAAATGTATTTCATTAAAAACCTCGGGATATCATGTTTGATACAGATCAAAAGCATAAACAATACAATATAAGTCTTACTACATTATTTCATATTTACAGGCCTATAATCCGTAATCCCTCATCCCAACATCATATATATGCTCGTGTGCCATTACCTGTAATACAAGAAACTGAGTGTGTCAGACTTAGGATCCTGGTGAGCACCTAAGGTTTTCAAACCACAATAAATAAATTTATTAACTTTATCAAACCAAGCAAACCCGATTACCTGTTCCCATTATCCTCACTTTACATCCCTAAAACATCTAATACAAGGGACCTAGTCTAAGGACTTTCATCGGGTGACAACACTGCTTCGGGGGTTCCTCAGCAATTTATGTCAAATAAGGCAATCATGTGGGGGATGGAGTACTGCCGGTGAACACTAAGTTCAAATAAACACCTACAGGTTGCGAGTCTGCTAGCGTTCCACTAGACTGTCTAGAATAGTCCGTGGTTGTCATCTATACTCCGCAAGATGACTGGATCATCTTAAAACATCAAGGCCTCTCATCATTTTATCACACATCGTCTATTACATCTACCCATGTTTTACCCAACACATTTTGTAGATATAAAATACATATACAGTTTAAATCATTTAAAACATGTATAAAAATATTCACCCAACATAGATATCAAGTAAACAGATAATATACACACATAGCACGTAATTAATATAAAATACTTCATATTTATGTATAAGATGAAAGTAACTATGCACTCATTTGTTAAAGTGACAAATCGAAATTCGAGCAGCTCTTCGCTTCTTAACAATATGATTTCCTTCAACGAAACCTAGTATTATTACCACTAGATTTTAGTCTAATATTTATTTTGACTAATTATTAGTCTAGATTCGTCATTAACCCAGAGTCTACTTCATGATCTATCAAGTAAGGAACAAACAGGTAGGATCATGTCGGAGGTAGGGTCCGTTTGGTATACGAAGTACACTGTTTGGAAATCCCACTTTAAACACCTCACTAAATACAGCCTAGACATTATTCCCGTAAGTAGATCAATCAGTATAACGACTTTGAATCACTGATAAATCTTATTTATAGGTTCATAATAACGATATTATATTTATATATAAGCTATATTTAAGGTATGGTTAGCATATCTCACTTACAAGAGGTTTTTATTAAAAACCGTGCTCTAATGGAGCAGCGTTTTAGAGTTGAAAAGCTCTTCTTCTCGGAGTCGTTGAGCGCTTCGAGGCTTTCTTCTAGCGCTAAGGGAGTTCCCTAGGGCTGAGGGGGGGGGAGGCTTAAAGAGAGAGTAGAGAGAAGAAAGAACGGGAAAGGTGTGAAGAAATGAGGGTGTAAAGGGTTGTATTTATAGGGTGAAATATGGCTCATCTTGGTGCCACATGTCACCATTTAGTGGCAAGGCTTGGGGAGAAAGTAATGGCAAAGATTGTGCCATGTCACCCATTTTTGCACAACAAACTTCCGACTTCTAAAATCCGTAACTTTCGCATACGATCTCTGTTTTTGACGTTCTTTATATCCACACGTAGGTAAAAATAAAATCTACAACTTTCATTTTGACTCCATCATCTAATTCTCGACCGATAATAAAATTAACAGTAGGAGGAGATTATACTATTAAATGTCCGCGCAAAATTCGTAACTTCTTCATACGGAATCCGTTTTCATCTGTCTTTTCATCGTTGAGTTCCTATTAATGAGATCTTCAACTCTCATTTAGGTCGCGTTAGCCAAAAACCGCTCGATCTAAAATTCGAGTTTCGGGATGTGCACTGCTAAGCCAAATCTTAGAAAAATCATAACTTCCTCGACCACTACAACTTTATGTATAGATATAAGGTTTATCTCACACTTTAATTTTGAAGCTTATTTTTATCATTTATTTATTATCCTTTTATAATTAAGTATAAATCACATAAATTCACACAATTCACATAATACTCAAATAATTCATCTTTATTATTTCAAAATGAGTTACATTGGTTGACCTAGACTATTACATCATCTACTAATGCTTAGCCCAGAAACATGGGCATTACATAAAAATCAAATTTCTAGAATAATGAAGTCATATAGCCGAAGTGTGACCATTCATACTTGGATTAAAAGAGGGACTTTATTAACGGGTGTGACTAAATTCTAATTAGTGTGAATTATGTAAAAACTATCATCTCCATATATGACTTTACTCTAAGTATAGTTAAATATCTTAGAGAATATGATTAGTGTTCTGATGTGACATATAGTTTTTTAGCTTGATTAAGTATACTCTTTAAGTCACAAAAGATTTATAGGTTATCCCTGAATAGAAGGATTCAACTTAGTTTTTTAATGATCCAGTTCACCCAATCATATTTGATTTCAACTTCTTAAGTAGCATTGTATTCTTATTTAATATATTGTGTAATTTTGTTTTTATTGGACCTCATTCCAGCAAAACTTATACTTCATTCCATAATGAAGTCATAATCATCTTATATACATTCTCTTAGTTCTTCTTAAGTACTCTTAGAATGTTCTCAAAGTCAACAACGACTTACCTATGTAACCAATTGGTATCTTATGATATGTTGAGAGCATAATCATATACCTAGTCTTGTGTATGATATGACATAAATGATGGATTCATTTTCCAACAAAACTTAATATTGTTGGGTTCGAATATTAGTTGTGAGGTGTCGAATTCTATTGTAGCTTG